CACACCTTTCAGTTTTACCGGTAAGTTGCTGTCTTTTCCTAACTGTGTAGAGCTCTAAGGTGGCATTTGAGTATTTTGGGGGAGAAAAGGGGTTGCTTTTTGTTCCTGTTTTTCTCCTGTGGCTAATGTATTAGAGCAGGAGTTCCAGCAGGGAAGAGAGGAGTTTAACAGGTGGGGTGTAGCTCTCCTCCTGGGCTCAGATCTGCACTCCTCGCGCTTTTCCTTTACTCAGGCCAAACTTTCACTCAGAGGTCAAGTGGAGTCAAGAAGAAGTCAAAAAGAGTTTTGCCTGGGATTTAAGGAGGAGGCTCCATAGCAGTAAAGTAAGTTCAAGGTAATAACAAGATCAGTTAAGGAATTAATTTTTAACAAGTGTTTAAAATACAGTGAGAGTGGTGATAGATGTGTCTGAAAGTATGACACTGGGAGCATGAAGAAAAGTATTTTTCAAATCCTCATTTAAACAAGTTTATAAAATAAACTGTGAAGCCTCTGTGGTGATTTATGAAACACTCATCATTGTGTTTCATATAAATGTACATGGCCAAATACCATTAAGTTTCACTGGCAATTAGAGTAGCTCATTCTGTGCCTGCAAATACGCCAGTTTGTCTGGAATTACATGGTCATGCTGCAGGCTTTCTGCAGGATGGATGCTTTTGTCTGATATAAGTTAGCAGAGTCAAGAACCTGGTAGTGATGGAGATGCCTGATTGTTTGGTGTAAAAACAAATGAAATATTGCAATTTGTTTTAACAGCTTTTTTTGTTATATTGCTTTATAAAATAGAGATAATTTTGAAGAAAAATATCAAAATCCCAAGTTTTTTAGACTGTCACAAGAAATTAAAGGAAATGTGGGCTGAATTTAAGGAATTGTATTCAGACAAGGATATCTGTTAAGTTTCTAAGTATTTGTTATGGGACATTTTTTGGACATACCAGTATAATGAAATCATACTGTACATCAAGTGCCATGATCTGGTAATATATGTAATACAGCTGTGTACTTATTTGTGTCTATACATGTATAGAATAAATTTATAAATAATAAGATGTCAAATTTTGCACATAGTGCACACAGTGATGAACCTCTTCAGTGACATCATCAGAAATAAAAATAACTGGAAAGTTTGTCATTGTCACATTATAATTATTCTTCTCCTGACGAGGGATAGATATGACATTGCAGCTTCTATAATTTATTCTCGCTTGCTTGTTCTCTTTGTTACATGCAAAGTGTGTTTGTGCATGTAACAAACTAGTAATTAATAACACAACATTGATCCTTTAATGCCATGCCAATTTTTATGAATGTCCATTTTTCAGTATGGTCTCAAAGGAATGATTTTCTAATACAAGAAATACAATAAAATACACCAAATAATACAAGACTCCCAGTTGTTATTCAATGATACAAAAGTTCATGAAGTTCTTGCTTTTCGTACCATTGAACTAGATTGTTTCCTGAGACAGATTTTCTGTCATTCCCTTGTGGATATTCATGGACATCTTGAAATGCAGATAAAGATGTTACATTTCTTAATCTGCATTTTTTTCCATGCACAAAAAGAAAAAATGTCTCCTTTCACAACCCCTATTGAAGATTAGGTCTTAACAGTTGCTTGTCTCTGTAGCACTGAAAGTAATACTATACAGTTGAATTTTATGTAATATGACAAAAGCAAACTTGGGATCATTCGCAGTTAAAATATTGAGTTGTAGCTATTTAAATTTAGACAGGTATTGTTGAACTCAATAGGGAAAATAGAATATTCTCTAAGCTTTGTGAACCTTCTGTTTTCATTTAATGTAACTTAACAATACTTTGTATCAAGACACTCCTTTGCAGTTGTTGGTGTGTTTTTTGGATGAGTTATGTTGGTCTTAAGAATTGCTCATTGAAGAATGTATTGACATTGAAGAAAGACACAGGACTTGGATTTCTGGGAACTCTCCAGCCAGTGGAGATGCGTAACTTTGCACTGCCCTTGGAAATTATGTCCTTCCAATATTTATGTCCTATGGACAAGACACATTTGTGGTGAAGGCAACAGCTGCTGCAATTCATGCTAAGATGTACACTGAAATTTTTCACCTCTGTGCAGTTAAGATGCTGTGAAGTATCTGCTCACAGCTTGAACACTTTCTCTTGGTGTGCAGGATGAATCTGCACACTCTAATATGCAGAAATACGTATTTTAATTAATGTAAGCACTAAAATAGCCTTTTTATGTGTATCCTCTGAGAATTGCATTGTGTTATGTCTTTGGTGTCCTGAATTAACTCAGCCTGGGCACTGCTGACCTGTAGTAAAAAGAAAAAAAAATTCTTGAGTAGTATTCGTGATTGGAGAATGATTAAGACCAAATTAGATTTATTATTTGCCATCTTTAAGTTTTAAAAATTTTTAATGTTCTTCTGTTAATCACTAGATAAATCCTCAGAAAACACACTTTCTGAAAGAAAACATCCTGTTTTCATTGCAGAGGTCATCGCCTGCTCATTACCTGAGCTGCCTATTTTGTTTGATCTGGATGGAAAATAAAAAGTGAGGCAGAGACCATTGAACTGAGAGGCACAGAATGGTGTAAAGAATAGCAGAGATAGGAAATATTGAACTTTGTTTTATGCTAAACTTCTTTAATCCATCAAATACTACATTATTTATTTTGCTTTTCTTACATTTTCCCACTCATAATGAGAACTTGCCCGAACAACAGTTTAGTTCAGTTCAAAGCTGGACCTAAACTTGGTATATTATCAAATGATTTGTAAAAAAAAAAAGTATAAAATTAATTCATTATTGCCTTAAAAATTATTATTTGTTAAGTTTAAAATTACTTAACCGTCCAAAAATATTTTAAACCTTATAAAATTAAGACAGATAATTAAATTTTAAAGTAATATAAACATATTAAATTAAGACTATAAAAATACTATAACAAAATTTATTCAGCTTTGGGCTACTATTTTAAGAGGAGAAAAAAATGCATTCTTCAAAAAGAATCTGAATATATTTAAAAAAATGTTTTAGGATAGGGAACATACACAAAATCAGTATTTTGTTGCTAGTGTCATCATTTGTAGTTTATCATGTTATGTTGGAAAAATAATTCACTTTGAATAAAGGGAATGCATTCTTGAAGAATATCAAAGATGGATTTTTAGTGGGAGTTTTTGTTAGATTAACTTTGTGTGATATAAAATGAATTAGTATACCAGGATTTATAATACTACTGCAAAATACTAACGGGTGTGTCGTTGCTTTTTGTGTGGAAGTGCACTACTCTGCAGTTAAAGGTGTTTCATTGCCTCACAGTAAAATCAAGTTATTAAAAAATACCTTAAATAAATTTAATTTCTTTCGTTGCCTTAACAAAAAGCCTGAAAGAAGTTCAGGACAGGAAATGAGGAGAAAATACTTCTTGTAGAAAATCAGTGACATAATTGCTGGAAATTACAGTCATATAATGATGAGAATAGTACACTTCTTCAGTGGTAAATTCCTAGCTGTAGTGATAAACACTGTTTTTATTTCTTGGAAATTGTAAGACACCCAGGTGTTTGGATAAGAAGTATAAGCATAGTAATGTAATTAAGTTATATATATATAAAGTATTCTAAGATTTTTAAACAAGATAATTACTTTTCTGGTAGTGGGTTTTTTGTATGCAAATTGTTAAATCTGAATTACAATTGTGATACAAGTATTTCTGAAGGTATTGAAGTTAGCTGAAAGTAAAATTTTTTTATTTTGTTTTTAGTTGAAGGTTGACATATAAAATATAGAAGTGAGTTCATTAGGGGCATGAAATGTACTTCTTACATATATTCCAATATTCTTACATGTAATCCAGTTAGGAACAGGCCAAGGATAGCAGAAGTGATACCAGGAGATTTCTCTTGTTTCTCAATTGGAGGAAATTTGTGAGGAATCTGATAATAAAAAAAATCTTGCACTTTAAGTCTTTCCAAATCAGCAATTGTGTCTCTGCCTAGATTTGTACATGAGAGGCCCATCATACATGAATTGGTGGAAACTGCTGAGAATATATGCCTGTGGTTTGTCACAGAAGTAAGGTCATAGGATGTAATTCTACTTTTTTCCAAGAAAACCTCTGTATGTAGTTGCTGAAATGACCTTGAGTTTGTTTTGTTTTTTGTTTCATTTTGTTTGGTTTTAGTGATGTTGCAGTAGGTATGGTTCAGTAACACTAACTGCCAGGACAGTAGGGGAAATGGCATGGAAACTTTTTCACCATTCCTCTCAGAATTTGCCATTCTTCCCAATATTTCAAGTTGCTACAATGTATGGGATTTTTAAAAAAATAAACAAATTTGAACATGATTAGGCTTTGAGAAACATGCTTGCTGAGTTGTACAGATTCCAAAATTCAACTGTAAATTCTGTAGGTTTTGAGTAATTCTTTTTCTGTGTTTGTACAGTTTGAAAATAGCAGGGACCTATTACTAACTTTCTGATCACTGGAGTAAATAAATTCTGATAACAGTAAAATTATTAGACTTAGGCAAACTTTGTATGATGCTCTGAATACTAGTGCAGTTGCATTACTAGTAGGATTATTCTGTTTAATTGATCTGATTTCTACCTGTTCTTTTCTAAATATAAACAGGAGCAGTTGGAGCCATCTCAGACAGAGGAAACAGAAACAATTATTTTTTAAATATTTAAATCTTGTAGAAATTCTAACTTATGAATCCTTCTTGCCAGTTGTGTATAGGCACTTAAGCCTGTATGAGCTCTGTGAGAGCATTAAACATCTCCTTTCTGTGCTCACCAAAGCCCTGGATTGCCTGGTTCCCAGGGTTATCTAGTTCCTAATGTGTGTGTGCAATACACTGCAAAAGCGAGTGCCCTTAAGAAATATCATTTGTCAAGGATCAATCTGTTCTGCCCCCGCATTGTGTAATTATCAGATGTTTTAACATTGCTCTAATTGCTCTGATGTTCTTGTTGTAGGTTAGAAATCTGAAACAATGGGTGACTGGAGCTTTCTGGGGAGACTGTTAGAGAATGCGCAGGAGCACTCCACGGTCATTGGCAAGGTTTGGCTGACGGTACTGTTTATCTTCAGGATCCTGGTGCTGGGGGCTGCTGCTGAGGAGGTCTGGGGAGACGAGCAGTCGGACTTTACATGCAACACTCAGCAACCTGGTTGCGAAAATGTTTGCTATGACAAAGCCTTCCCCATTTCTCACATCCGCTTCTGGGTGCTGCAGATCATTTTTGTCTCCACTCCGACCCTCATCTACCTGGGCCATGTCCTGCACATTGTACGCATGGAGGAGAAGAGGAAAGAGAAGGAGGAGCTGAAAAAGAAGGGAAGCAGCAAAGACGGCAACTACCCAGTAGCAGCAACATCTGGCAGTGGTGGTGGAGGAGGCAGCAACAACATCAAAGATCAATCTATTGTCAAAAGGGGGAAAGAGAAGCTCCCAATCCGTGATGAACGTGGTAGAATCCGTATGGGGGGTGCCTTGCTCCGTACCTATGTCTTCAATATAATTTTCAAGACACTGTTCGAGGTGGGCTTCATTGTTGGCCAGTACTTCCTATACGGCTTCGAGCTAAAGCCAGTCTACCAGTGCAGCCGCTCACCTTGTCCACACACTGTGGACTGCTTCATCTCGAGGCCCACTGAGAAGACCATCTTCATCATCTTCATGTTGGTGGTGGCCTCAGTCTCCCTGCTGCTGAACATGCTTGAGATATATCACTTGGGGTGGAAGAAGCTTAAGCAGGGCATGACGAGCCAGTACATCCTAGAGATGCCTGTCGCAACAATGACACCAGTTATGGTAACGGGGGAGTCCAAACCTGTTTCCCTGCCGCCGCCAGCACCACCTGTGGTGGTCACGACTGCCACGCCGGCCCCTGTTCTGCCTGACACCCGCGCTGTCACACCACTGCTGGCCCCGGTGACCATGGCATCATACTATGCTACAGCTGCTCCAAGACCACGGCCCCCCTCCAACACGACGTCCATGGCAAGCTACCCTGCTGTTCCACAGGTTCCTGAGGAGAGGCACCGTGCTGTGACTCCCACACCCATCTCCACTCCCGTCACCATCCCGACCCCCATCCCCACGCCCACGCCAGCCGTCATCAACTACTTCAACAGCAGCAGCCGTGCCCTGACATCCGAGCAGAACTGGGTCAACGTGGCAGCTGAGCACCAGGGGAAGGTTTCCTCCAGCTCAGCAGGCTCCTCAACCCCCAGCAGCGTCCGGCATCCCCTTCCTGAGCAGGAGGAGCCACTGGAGCAGCTACTCCCACCCCCAGCTGTGCTGCCCATTGCCGCAGCCAACAGCGGCAGCAGCACCAGCCTGAGCGGGGCGAGCGGCAGCAGGTGGGATGTGGAGGGCGAGGTGGAGCTGTCGAGGCCGCGGCCCATCTCGGCTGCCTGCACCACAGTGGAGATGCACGAGCCACCGCTGCTCGTAGACACGCGGCGCTTGAGCAGGGCCAGTAAGTCGAGCAGCTGCAGAGCCCGGTCAGACGACCTGGCCGTGTAAGGCGGTCGCCCTGCTCGGGGGAGCAGGTGGTGGAAGGCAGAGTGGGCAGGGGAGCTGCCCGGGGAGGCCAGGCCTGGCGTGGGTGAGAAGGCCTGGGCTTCAAACTTAGACGCTTGCTGTTTTTGCACTCTGTGAGTTGTAGTGGGGGAAATTATCAACATTTTCTAATAGGTCAGGGGTGACCGAAGCGCAGCCCGTGGGCCGGGGGAGCAGTCCCACTTTCCTTCATGTTCACGGCAGATCCCTCAAGGGCAGCCGTAGGGAAGGCCTGCACAGGTGACAAGTGGCAATGGTAGCTGGTCATGTGCCCTGAGGCTGACTTTCATCTGAGAAAAATGTCAATATCCCTAGTGCCCGTGCACCTGGCTGTCATCTCCCTCTAGCCCTCGCCTTGACTTCAGCTCTTTCCCAGAAGCTCTACGTGAGTAGATGCAATGACTTACTTTCTTCCTCTTAAATTTTACGTAGCCCTGTGGCAAACATCAGGGTGGTCTATTGCCTCTTGGCAATTGTTGGGTCTATGGACCAACTTGCCATGTTAAAGATAACACAGTTTCTTCCATATAACGTGACTTAATGAAGCCATTGTGTTCATGGCAAGTCACCAATGCAGTCCTCGGCCAGGCAAAGTTTAGGGAACCCCTGGAATAGAATTTTGAGGTTCTTCTTTCCATAATTTTATTTTTACTCTTGACCTGTTAGGAAGTGTTCGGTTTAACCTTCTATCCAGTGTTTGCCAACTATGATCACACCATGTTTATAAGCCTGCAAATATGTTTGAGCATGTTTGACTATAATTTTAGCTGACTCCTAAAATTGCTTACAGGAGGACAGGAATTCAAATCATACCTCAAAAATTACTACACAGAACTATTTCTCTTCAGAAAGCAAGGATTATGATTTCAAAACACTGTGGCCCCATACATTGCCCGTGGAGAAACAATTAGGATAAAGTATAGCTCTGCATTTTAGGCTATTAGATATCAGCTTAAGTTTGTTGGAAAAATGCTTTTTAGAAGTAAATTTGAGTGCTTATTTTTAAGTATTTGAACATTTTGAGAATAATCTGTAGGTTTAAAGTTACTTGACTGTGCACTTAATAATTTTAGTTTGATCTTTGATCTTACAAGAAAATGTAAGAGGAGAGAAACTGACTAATGGTGAAATTCCCAAAGCAACATTATTTCCTGTTGTGTACCCTTTAATATCAATCTGTAGTGTGTTTAGGTCAGTGAAAACAGACTTAGATAATATTGTATTGCAGAAAAAGTGGCTAAAATATCTGGGCAACGTGGTGGCTGAGGGTTCTATCCTGATCTAACTGAAGTCACTTTCAGAATTTCCATTCAGTTTAATAAGGAGCAAGATTTGGGAATGGATCTTGAAGGCCTTACTCAAGCAAGACTAATATTCTCAAGAAGTTATGGAAGCCAGAAGAAATTTAGATTTTGGGCCTTAGAAAAGACATTGAAATCCTGCTTTTGGAAAATGTGTGTGCCCCTCAAAAATGGGTGAAGGAAAGTATTGGGTTGTTTTTTTTTTCTCTAAGGTGCAGCTTTCCTTTCAACAGGCTCTGTCCTTTTTTCCCCTCCTTAACAAGATGTTAGAATTCTGCATGCCTGAATAGGCTGAGGAGAGTTTTGGTACAAAAGGAATACAGAATTAGGCCCAGCTTCTGTTTTAAGCAAAATCCAAAAGAACTAAAGCTTGGAGTCAGTCCTGTTGCTGCTATAAATCGAAAGTACTGTAACTGGAAAAGAGCAATCAAACATACTGGGATAGTCCTTTGCATCTTCAAAGTGTTTGGCCTGGCAGTGCAGTCCTTGCTCAGGCAAAGCAGAGTCAGCCTGTAGCAAGCAGTTAACATTACCAGTTATTTCTGCTGTTAGATGTTTTCCTGAGTGTGCTTATTTTATTCAACAGCCAAAATATATTCCCACAACTCAATACTAAACATTTTTACCTCTTTCTGAGTAATCACAAAGAGCTTCTCATAATCAGAAGCACTGTTCTCCAACCTTTGGGCATGTTGTCTCGTGACTTCCTTGTCCTGCTTGTGTTGAACCAGGTGAGGAGAAGTCCTTCTGCTGCCATGGATCTTAAGGGCATCCACTGCATTAAAATTTGATGTGTAGTAGAACAATAAAGGTATTTATTATTAGGTATTCAGCTTCAGGCATGCTTTCATGGATTTTCTGTGTTATAAGCCATAAAAACCCTTTCAGCAAGAAAACTAAAAGCCATGTTCTGCTTTCTATTTTAACCATGCAACTATGCTGAACATAGACTGAAGTTGATGAAGTTGCCTAGATATAAACAAAGGCAGACATTAAGATTCAAAATCTTTAAATTTACTAGAATCTACAGTAGCAGTTTTGTAAGTTTTGATAAATGCCAGTTAACTACATTGCCGAAATAATGCAATATATGCATCTCTGTATTTTAATACATCAGAGTTTATGGGCTACATTTTCCTCTGTACTATGCTTCCGAAGAATGAAGTCAAAGTCTTTCTGGAGTGTATTTATATAAACCAGACCACCTGGAATGTGTGCTTTTTTATATCACTTCCCGAGAGCAAAACTGATGTTGTTTGATGGGGCTCTGCATCTTGCAGCCCTTACTTTAGTATTTCCCTCACAGAGTGTGTCCTGCAGGATTGCATCCATATTGTATATAAAAAATAGTAAGAGAGAGATTTAACTTAGGATCAACTGAGACCTAGGCTGACCTTTTCAAATTAATGTGTGTGGTTAGACCTGCAGAAAGTTCAGATGCTTTTGTGGAATATATGGTATTTTCAGCTGGAGTAACTACTGGAAAGCTCTAAAAGATGATTTTTCCTGTTAGGTGAAGCTCAGGGGGAGAAATGTAACTCTATTGCAACCCCTAAGAGAAGTCTGAGAGAGCAGCCTCTGCATCCAGGCAGTCCTGGTCTGAGAAAGCAAAGCTACAACTCACAGGTTGCGCTTTTAAGATCAGCTTAAGTTCCATCACGTAACTATGCAGCGTCTTCATTGCCTACAGTTTCATTTGGAGTCCAGTAACTGTTTCTTCATTTAAACCCAGGTAACTGTTTTGCCAGAACTCCTCCTTAGTGCTTACAACTGCTTGTAGTTGCCACATCACATCTGGATTCAGATTTGTTGAAAGAGAAATCATGCTGATGTGGCCGATTTTGAGGACTTTAGTCTTTACTCATGAACAGTCACTGAATTCCACATCCTGTGAGTCAAGTGCCCAATTCTATGCAGAATTCCACAGTTGTAGAAAATATGAACAAACACCCACTGACTTGCAGGATAGAGTCTATCGGCAAGAAATTACCTGCTACTTGGTAAGTCATTGACTCTTTCACATCACTTAATTACAAAGTTTCATGGGAGCTGGTAGCAAGTGATACCCTGATTTAGCCTGGTCATGTGGCTGTTCAAGCCACAATTCTGAAAGACCTCAGGTGCACAGCTAAGATGAAACCTGTAGGTAAGTTATCACAAAAGCAAAAGTCAGAACAGAATCATGCCTGATATTAAGCAGACCGAAAAAAAAGACCCACTAATTTTTGCTCTTTGAGTAGAATAATTGTGGGAAAACTTGTCCCCTCTCTTACTTGAAGTTAAAAAATATGCTGAGGTAAACTATGGAACAGAAAACTGAAAAAAGATACTCTTTGAACAAGTTACCAGGTGTATGATGTACTACTCTTTTTGCAGTATATTTGTTGTTCAAAAAGGCACTTAGAGCTAATGAAATGCCTGACATTTTGCGGCTCTTAAGATTATTTTCTGGTATGAATATGTAAGTGTAGGATCAGTAAAATAATGAAAGCAAGTCTTAAAGATCAGATCACTATTTAGGTCCTTTCTTGGTTAGGCATGGGATCTCCTCCTCAGCTGCTACAAACTGTTGTATTCCGCTGAGTTCATGTGGGTGACAGCAGTCTGCAGGAGCAGAGTGTTGAGCCCCCTGGTCTTTTTCTTTTATACAGACACTAACACCATGGATTTGAACAGGCTGGGGTTTTCTTTAATTCCAAATGTTTTACTTTGATTTTTCTTGTGAAAAGTGTGCTCTTGTAATTTTGATTTTCTGAAGTTTACATTCAGTTTTTGATTTCAGATTGCACATTTGGATGAAATAAACTGCTTTCTGAGTTTACATTTGTATAAGAAGTAAAAGAATGACTCTGCCAATCTGTTAAACATGAGAGAAATGTCTTACTATAACACAGGAACTCTTCAGACATAAGCTGTACCATTAAATTTAACTGATCACTGATGCACAGTATCAGCTTTCTCTGTGCAATTAAAATATGGGTGTTGGATATATATATATAGGGAGCACACCATGGAAAAAATATTTTTCATCATGAACTCAATTATTGCCAAATAAACTAAGGTTCACTGTTGTTCATATGCCTTCCTGTGTGTTTAGAGCTTCAATGACAAAAATTAGTTATGACGTATGTCCTTTACAAGCTAAATTTACAGCCTGGTTTGAAATTCCAAACAAAGTACTTGTGAATAAACACTGCACTGTTACACTGTAGAAGGTTTTACCAAAAAAATATTGTTTTTCTTTCTAGGCAAAAATACGGTTCTGAGTCTGCAAATATGATTTCATGCAAGTTACTTTAACTTTTGCAAATAAGACCATTAAAAGCAATGGGACTATTTGCATAAACTAAAAACACTGATGTGATAAAGAAATTGTAGATTTGCATTTTAAGTTTGCTGTAAGATGCCAATCTAATTATAGAGTTTTCAGTTCTTGAAGAGTTATGCAAGATGTGTGAGCATATTTTAAGGTGGAGAGTGCTATTTGCATTGCCACTGTTTCTCACAGTTAAAGGGTTCTAAAGCATAAGGAAACTTACTCAGAACTTTCTTGTTGCTTTCTGGATGTTTGTCTTTTACATGACAGAATCTGACAAAAAACATAGCAAGTTTTCTGGGCAGTCAGGAACTTGTAGTAACAATAAAACCAGCAAACACTTCAAA